AAACGATTATGGAAATAAGATACTTGTACCACTTTTAACCTTCATAAAATATTTCGTCAGATAATAAACCTCTGAAGCATTATTCATTTATAAGAATAGTAGATTTTGGAATAAATTAGAAATGATCAGGAAAAAATATAAACACTTAGATTATATACTTGGACACATTTTACCAGACAACACGTGTCACATACAGTTGCGATTTTAGGAATCCTGAAATAGGGTGAAATCCAAATGGCAATGACAACATTAATTTAAATAAAACTTTCAGACTTGATTTGATTGACTTGTGCAGGTATTAATGTTTTTATATCTAGAATGTGCCTTATTCACTCACTCAATAATTGTTGATATCTGTCCAATGTCAGTGTTCCTAATTAGAAAAGAACGCTTCGTCCAATCCGGATATGCTGTTTACAGATAGATCGTGTTTACAGATAGATCGAGAAGTAGAGCAAAGTACTTAGAATTTATGAAGATCAATATTTGTTATTAGATAAGTTAATTTACAGAATACGGGAAATATCTCCTCTTGCGACTAAAGAGTTGTTTTAAAAAGTTGAGGCACCAGACTTGCAGCCGCCGTTTTTCCCTGCAAAAGAGGCGATTTACTCGGGGTTCGAATTACTGGTGTATATGCATCTCTAAGCTCCAGCGAGAGAGGTGGTTTTGACTCCTGGTGTTGCTTTAAATTTGTAACACGAGAGGTTAACAGAAATGTGTCGCCATATGACCTAAATTGTGTTGGTGCGTCGTAAAACCAAACAAAACAAACTGGGAAATATCGATGAAAACTACAATTGATTTTTTTTTGTTTTTAGTCTTACTCTCTTGATTTTGCTTATACGATGATAATTACATTAAAGGGAAACTATCGTGATCTTTTCTGTTAAAGATTAGCATATATAATTTTAAACTTTATTTCCTACATTGTTGTTTTAACCATAAAATAATGAGAAATGGAATACCTAAAGAATGTTAAAAACTAAAAAATTGAAAATGTTGCATGCTCGATTTGATTTGATTGAGTCTGTTCATGGACAGTTTTTGGAATGTGCAAAATACTGTCAACGCCCCCTAGCACAGGCTCTAGCAGTATTCAACATTTAAACATGAAATGGTAACACTTTGTACGGCGGTTATCATGGAATCTTCAATGTGTCACGTTATTGCAATTTTATCAATAACGGCGTAAACAAAATAAGCAAACAAAATATGTTATGATGTTTCATGTAAAGATAAATTAGCAGAATGTATCAGAATGAACGTCGGATAGCAGACAGTAATAAAATATTAATAGGCTTAATCCAGCGAGTTTCTCAAATTTGAATTCCTACTTATTGGTATTGTGTTTCCGCGTATCTAAAAACACATTTTCAAAAATGTGACCTCAAACAGCAAATGTTCAAATAATACAATTTTATATTAGAGCCTCTTAAGTTTTACTGTTCGCTTATTTGTTGATAAAATTGAAAAGATGTTGTCAAGCTTTAACTAATTTATTGTGATGAAAACACAGAAACTTTTAAGTATCAACATTTTTGTTTTCATTTTCCGTGATAAATAATGCGATAGTGAAGCACATGTTTACACAACAATGCCGGATAAGTATAATTTAGATTAACAATTCGTGATTTCAGTATCTAGCGTCTTTAATACGGGGTTAAAATTTAGATTTAAAAGCATAAACGCGTATTTAACCTGACTATAAAACAGGAAATTTCATACTTTTCACTACCATCCAAGCAGCCACGTATTATTTACGTATTGTTAACTGTGACATAATTTAAGCTGACTTGTTAACATGCCTAGTAGTTGTAAGAAGCCATTACTCCCTGGTAAATGCAAGTTTTAATTTCAGATGAACATAGATAATAGTCTATGAACACTTTATGAACAATTTTTGCATGCACATACCATCAACAGGTCATTATCTCCTGCTATATGCAGGTCTTAATTTAAACGAAAGAGAGTGTTGCCCTAAAATAATTCTTATAAGGAAGGGCTTAATCTAATGTTGCTAGAAATTGTAGCTCAAGCTATTTGCTTTTTGTTATACAATCATCAGTTGTATGATATTTTACATGTATATGCTGCAATAGAAATATGTTTAAACTAACAAAAGATAGTTCTATGAACAATTATTATATTATCTAAATAAAGCTACAATCTCAGTGGTCCAAACAGTAGCCAATAGTTCTATTTATAAAGACATAAGTCTTATTGACTGGGTGAAGTATCATATTCACTGGCGAAACTGGACTTTTCCAATCTAAAAAAAAAATTGAGACTAATAACCATTGACTGCGCATAAAAATAAGTGTTGAGTTTTGTTCTTTATATCATATGTCTCCATTAAAATATCATTACTTTACTATAACAGGTAAAGGTTGCACCGCTATTATGTATATAAACTTGAAGTAATTTCGTTTACGCAGCGTTCGCGTAGTCGCTGAACGCCTTACGCCATGCGCCTTTTTCCGCACTTCAATGAAAACAGACAAACGTTGTGTTTTGTATTTCCTTACAGACTTACCGATGCGAAATGCCGGTAAATATCTCATCATATTCAATAGCTCACTAGTCAATAATTGTATAATATTGTACGCACATGTCATCAATATCTCATGTTTTAAACATTGCAAGTGAGTCAGTGATTAACAAGTCGGTTGTAAATAATTGTTTTGCAATGATATTTTAACCAAAACGAAAACGATCAACTCGTATAATAATATCAAGTTGTATTTGAACGGTTTATAATGCTTCTCTACGACGAATTTATTCCGTTTCACAAGCATTTTCACTCATCTGAAAAATTTTGGATAAATCGGGGATATTTTTGTTGGAAGATAAGAAACAGCAATAAATAAACAGAAATATTATATTTTCCTTGTTGTTTACAAATGTTTATTGTATAATATGTTAAAAAACAACTATTCATTATATATAATAGCTGAAATATAACGAGAAATTTATTGAAAATTAGAAATAAAATATATCGTCGTTTTTCCTTTGCCCCGACATTGCTAAGAAAAATTATTATCTAAAGAAAATTACTGGATTTCATTCGGACAATGGTTAACAAAAATCTATTTGGTTAAACATAATTTTACTTTATTATAATCTCAAAAATACTTCATTATTACAAATGAATGCCCTTGATAAGATTATATGTGATTCTTTTTACGGCTATTTGGCAATTGCTTCTAGTATAAAAGTATGTATGCGTAAATATGGAAGTCATATTTATTATGTGTTTACTATAATTGAATGTCTTGGGGTACATTTTTAAATAAAACAAGGAAACAACTAAGTATACATAATTGAAATTTCTTTCTTGACACAATCATATCATTTAATGACCTTGGTTATATTATGTCTTTACGGTGAAAAAACACACACACACACACAAAAACCACACACAATCATTTGAACCAAATATATATGTTGCTTTTTAACTATATATCTGTAGTATTCAACAAATTGGTGAACTTCATATCTAAGAAGCAGAAATGTACCTTCATTATCAATTACCAGTATGTCAACTTATCTATTTGTTTACAACAAACAATGTGATCATTATTTTATATTTGCAAATGGGTCTAGGTTGAAACTCACTATAAAATAGAAGAGATGTAAATTTGTCACCAATGTAAGCATGTTAAACTTAACTAAAATAGAGAAAAAATAAAATTCTTAAAAACAAAAATAAAAACGGCAAATTTAAAAATGTTACAGGCTCGGTTTGATTCAGCCTGGTGAAAGACGGCACAGGAAGTGCAACCTACCGCCCACTAGCACCGGCTAACGAAAAATTAAACATTTAACATGAGGTTGTAACTTTTTGATTTAGATTCAGCTGCACATTTGAGAATAAAACGTATTGTAATATTAAGCGTTGTATTTGAATGGTCAAACAATGCTTCGATGTAAATTACTATATGACAGAATTTCAAACATCTCAGAGTAATAATATATCTGTTATTTGTTATATTCGGATCGGAATATCCTTCCAAAGCGTGTCCGCCCAATGGGCGGTTACGAGGCTTGCAACCGGAACCGCAAACACTATTTTTAAAAATAAACGTATGCATTTAAAATTTCATTCATACCGGCAAAATGATTTTATACTAGACACACAATTTCAATTTAAAATTAGCCAAAATGGCGTCATTATAATTCTCTTCATTCAAAGAATGAGCTAAAATAACGTCATTTTTTTAAAAAAGCGACTCATCTCGCATCCCAATACGAAATGACATTTCCAGGATGATTAAAACTAACGGAAACACCAGTCTGATTTGAAGAAAACCTATTGAATTGTCATCCACAGACGCTTGGGGGTCAGATCCTGTCCCCAACGTGATACGCCCATGTAAACACTATATCAAAAGTATTTTAATATTTAAACACGTATGGGACATCTATTACAACAATAAAACTGGTTTTCAAACAATTTTTACATTTATAAAAAAGTACCGTATACCATCAGGTCATCAAGACGGTATTTTTTCATATATGTAAAAAATGTTTGAAAACCAGTATTTTTTGTTGTAAAAGATGTCCCATTCGTGTTTAAATATTAAAATAGTTTTGAAAGAGTGTTTACAGGGGCGTATCACGTTGGAGCATGATCTGACCCCAAACGTCTGTGTTGTCATTGTATTGTGGCCGAACCGTATGCTTATGAGAGGAAATGTGTACATGGGGTAAGGAAACGGGTATCTCAATCGGTAGCAATAAAAATCATTAATTCGAGGGTTTGAAACCCTTACGGGCTGTCATTTCTTTCAAATATTTTGACATCTTGCGCCACATCCGAATGGAAACGTATGGGTAAATATTCTTGATAGGAAAACTAAAACAGTCAAGGATGTACGAGAAAGGCGTCATATTTTCACCTTGCAATATATATATGGCTATAACATAAACAACATTGGTTCAAGACATAGGAGGTATTATTGTTCTTAAACAATGTGTTTATATTTACAGTGCACTACCTGGCTGTGCATGATTCATTTCTTCGTGTTCTAACTTAATATGCTGAGCTTCTCTTTTTCTGTTGTTTCCCTGACAATGAGCCAGAAATTCAACCGTGGGTACAATAACCAACTTGATTACAAGTATTTGATTTTCATTTCGAATGTTATCAATATCTCCTATGCCGTCATCATTTGTCTGTTTGTACACCGGAACTGCAAAACAATATTGCAAATAATAGCGTCATTAAGAAATACAACGACATAAACTATATTCGCTCAGCTTCTAACAATGCGAGGTTTAGTGCAGAATTTTTTTAACTGAAAGCATGATTGTGTTTTTATTTTTTTAAGCTTCCAAAAGGCTGTAATGTCATTTGTTAGGCACATCACTTGTCCTCAACTCATCCTTGTTAATGGGTAGAATTGATCATTTATACAAATCGCATGTGCTGTACATATAAGTTAAAAGCAACGCATGACCATAACGTCACTATATTCAATTAAGAGAATGGATGAGATACGTATTTTGAAAAAAAAATGGGTTTAGTAATTACGAATCAGTGCAATAAACAATTCAAATCTTCCTGTAGTGCTGACATTAAAATATGACATAAGTGATGGAAATATTACCTTGTCTTTGAACGTTTTTGTTACAGTTGAATCTTGCCGACATTGTAGCTGTGTAACGATTTTCCGTATTCCGTCTTAAGACTTTTTTGAACGCTCTCTGGAACTTTGTCGACATTAAACTATAAATGACTGGATTAGACGCGCTGTTGACATACATGAGGATCCTTGTCCAAGATATAAGATTCAGAAACGCTTCCAGTCCAATCTTGGTAACGTCATTGCTTGGTGTGAATATCAACCATAGTGTTATTGAACGTATAGGAAATAATGTTACAAAAAATAAAACAATTATTATAATAAGCATTTTAACCACCTGTTTCCTTGAGCGTAGTATGTTGAACGCTGACTTATCGTTCTTCGTCAACGATTGTAATGTGTCTGAAGTTAATTGTTTTATAATTTTAGAATAAATTCCAACAAGAACAAGAAATGGTAACAGAAAGAAAATGACAGTGATCATAACTGTATAGATATAACGCCATGTCTCATTTACTTTCGTTCGACAAACTTTTATAGGACTCCCATCGAAGAATCGTGCGTCTTCCTGTTCTGTCATGAATAAAAATGGCGAGGTCAATGTAAGTCCAATGATCCAGATAATGATTACAATTTTGATTGTAGAAGAAACAGTATAAAACATTTTACGTTTCAACGGATGGCATAGGACGACGTATCTTTCTAACGTTACCGCTATCATTGTAAGTATAGAGACGTGCAGGACGCCATTTTCCATGAACGGTACAAGTTTACCTAGAAATAATAAACGTGATTGTATAATTATATAATATAATTTGTGTTTATATTTTATATATAAGATTACCGTTGTCAGAAATGTTCGTATTCATCATGGTGTGAGGTATGCCACGTTTTTTTTTTCTTTTAAAATAAAAAAAAATCGTTACATTAATCTGAAAGACAGTCCGATTGAATAAGATCAATAAGTCAATAAATATGTTATGAATCCACCTTCATAAGCTCAGGTGGTTTTATTTGACTTTATTGGAAAAGAAATGACAAAGATTATTGCTGAATTGAAAACTGTCATTTTAATAACAAAAATAAGGAAATAAAGAATTATATTAGAATTAATATTTGAATGCGATTTGAACAATTAAATGATTAAGTGTAAAAAAGTCATCAAAATCAATGCATTAAAAAAAAGAAAGAAATGCTAATAGGATTGTGGCTGTTATTTTACTGCAAGCGACGTTAAAAGTAAAAACGCAATAAGATAATTGAGGCGCTCAATAAATTCTATTTTTATGTAACACAATTATCGAGAATGTTCTGTAAAAACACATTCGTAATAAAAGTAAGATTTATTTGAATATCACAAAGCTTGTTAAAATATCTCTCTAGGGAAAGCCTTTTTCTATTATGTCTAAATTCAATATTTCAGCTAGTGCACCCAGACTTAATTATACAAAGTGGTTCACGTTTGTTATTTATGGTTTTCAAAGGTTTCTGATTCGAGGACAATGAAACAAATATCACTTAAAGGTATTAGAAATTAGAATGCTTTTTTGTAAAAACTATCTTTTTCTTCTTCTTTAAACCTATATACAACATGTATTTTATAAGGTTTAATTTTAAAATAACGGCAGAAAATTTCAAAAATTGACTACATTGCTTATAACCTTTTTTAACTGTGAAATGTACATGTTTTTCTGATTAGAGAATATTAAAAAAGGAAAAAAATAACACTGAAAGATATTTGAATGTAAGAAAATGTATAATATATTTGATAAAGGATGGTCAACAAAGAAATTAGATAATAGCGTGCACCAAAGCAAAGTTCAAATTTAATTGAATAAAGATCAAGTCTTTATAAGCGTCTTTAACCATTACTCCAACATAATTGAATTTGTTAAAAATAAATTGCATTCAGAAGAGAATAAATTAATGTATACTTACACATTATTCCACCAAGAAACCATCTGTCTTTTCCAAAGAATTCTGTGAGGCCAGCAGGTTGACAAACCAGCAATACTAAAACATCAGCAACACTTAAGTTTAGCAAGAAAACATTTGTTGGTGTCCGCATTTCTCGAACTCTAAGTACTACTATTATCACAAGAATGTTTCCGAACGTTCCCACAATAAATATAACTGTATTCACGATACTAACAATAATATAAATATATAAAGGAATATTCATTTCACTGTCATTTTGTTTCAAGTTATTCACCGAAATATTAGACAAGTTTTCTGCCACATATTTAGTATCTAGATATCTATGTTCATGCATTTCCATAATATATATCTTACATAAGTAAATGACAATAAAATACTATAATAATCTTTAAGCAGACAAAGGTATTTTAAATGGTTCAAGCAACTCCGATAGCGAATAATTCCAGCTTATTTAATTGACAGCACCATTCTATCCACTGCGTTAGAAAAATTGACGTAGTAACAACACGTCTCCTCGATTGTCGACTTGACTTTTTTCTCTGATGTTATCTCTAGCGCAATACAATCTTATATAGACGGCAAGGTACAGTACCGAGAACTATTGGCTATTTTTACTTCTTTGTGTTGCAAAAAATGGAACATATAGAACTACTACAGATTATAAATTGAATGTAAAACTTATAAATTATATTATTGTTTTTTTTCTTGTCTTTATCACACTTTTTTTAAATCTGTCAAAGTTTGAAGATAAAATGATTAAATTTTCACACAAAAAGAGATAACATAAACAAAAAGGAAGTGCTGCAACAAATATATACTAATATAACGCTACATCTACATCTTTCAACGTATGATAAATATACCAATCTTATCAATCAGTTAGAAATGAATGACATATTCTTCCATTTAATCCTCAAATAATGAGGTTTTTTGTCGGTAACTGCCATATTTCCTATACAGACGGAATCAACTCCGTCATAATGCATTTCAATGAGGACCTATATATTAGGGAATAACACCTTTAAAGCTGGTGTCTGTATATATTATTTTCAGAGAATTATGCCTTAAATGACTTTCAGA